TAATAATAATAATAATAATAATAATAATAATATCAATAGAACTAGTTTATTAGCAAGTCATTTATTAAATCCACCTTTTCGTTTTCATGTATATGAAGTTCCTCAACGATATGGAGAAGGTGCTTTACAATTACTTCAACATATTTGGCCTATAAGTGTATGTAATCGACGAATACCAAAAACTAATTATACCATGTTAGATTGGAGACATGCACTTTCTTTATTTACAGCAGATGTATGGATGATTAAATATATTCGTTCTCATCCTGCACATACAAATAATTTAGAAGAAGCGGATATATTTATTATTCCTATGATTCCTCATGTTTATTATTGTGCACATGTAAGTCATTATATGATTGAAGTGATTCGTTTTATTCGTCAACGATATGAGAAATATGTTTATTTATATAATCAACATAATCATTTTATTTTTTGGTGGCGATGGGCTTTACAATATCGTCGAGTTCAGGAATTTTGGAAATATATACAAAAACGAATTCCAAATATAAAATTTATTTCATATGAATTATTAGAAATAATGGGAAGAAATAAATATCAAGATTTCTCATTAGCGTTAAAACCAAACTTTTTAAATAATATTCTTCATATTATTGTTCCTTATCCAGATTTGGCGCCTCTCTTGCAGGAAGTACCGAATATCTCTACACAAGAACGTCCCATTTTCTTTTATTTTGCAGGAACGCATACAATTGGGGGTATTAGACGTTGGATTCGTCGTAATTGTGAACAAGTACTAAATAATAATAATAATAATAATAATAATAATATTAATAATGTTAATAATGATAGTGTTCATAATAATAATAATAATAATAATAATAATAATAATAATAATAATAATAAGAGAGATAAAGATAATAGTAATAAAGATAGTGTCAATATTAGTAATATTAGTAATCTTTGTGTATATGAGTCCTTTGCCTCTACTGGAGTGACTGCTGAACGATTAGGTGTTCCTCAATCATATCCCCAACAAATGCGACGATCTATTTTCTGTGGACATGCCGCTGGAGATGCACTTTCCTCCCGACGACCCACTTCTGCTATTCTTGCTGGATGTATTCCAGTCATTATATGTGATCTTTGTTTATTACCTTTTGAAAGTATTATGGATTATAATAAATTTGCCATTTTTCTTCCAGAAGAAATTGTTATTGCAGGTAAAATGATAGAAACACTTCAAAAGATTCCAAAGGAAAAAATTAAAGAAATGCAAATGGAATTAAATCGAGTACGTTCACGTTTTATCTATACATCTAATCCTAATAGTAATAATAATAATAATATTAATAATAATAATAATAATAATAATAATAATAATAAGATAAAGCCAAATGATGCTTTAGATACACTTGTGCAGGAATTGGCTTTACGAGGGGCATTACTTCGACAATATAAACGATGGTGGAATACAAATCGTCATCTCTCTTCTCTGCAAAGTGATTATCCACCAACACCTCCGGCGAGAAGGAAATATATGTTGCCGCCTAATGCCCCTGGAGCGGCGAAGTTTAATGAAGTTTAATTAGAAGATGGAAAATGAAAGTGAGTGAGTGAGTGGGAATCATTAAAGATGATTTACTTTTTATCTTTTGTTTGCTTGTTTAGTTTTTAGTTCATTTGTTTGCTCTTTTTTTTTTGTGTGTGTGCTACATTTATATTTAAGTCTTATTTATATACATTGATATACTTTTTTTTTTTTTTT